GCTTTTCTTTCAGACAACACGGTACGGGTGCCGACTGACTCAGAAAGCCAACAGGATAAAGTTTTCTTTATCCTGCAGTTTTTCACCATCTGACTACGCAGTCCAGCACAAGTTTTGCTATATTAACAAACCATAATACATCATCATCCTTACATCGCACATCAAGTGATTTCAATGGTGACTCCCAACTCTGTACGTAACTACTGTTGGATAATATTGCTGAATATTTTAGGAAAAAAAATAAACCTAGACTGTAAATACATAATCTAATCAATATTAATTTTTAGGTTGTCATAATATATCATGTGTTTACTATTTCTAACAGTAATTAAATAATGTATTCAGTAGCTTAGAAAGAATAAGAAATGGCATCTTATGACATCTTGTGTAAATAATTATAATATTATTTATTTTGATCCCGGTGAAATATAGCGTCGGCACCTGTACCATAATAATGTTGCTAGACGTCGTTATTTTTGCGTCGGACAACGGTGGGGTGACGCTGCAAAATCAGTTCCCTGTAGTTTGTAGTTCACACACTCTGCATTTTTTTTCTTTAGCAAAAATAGTTGTAGTTGCTCGGAGTTGGAGGAGATTTGGTATAATCTGGATTGTGACTGGACCGGAATGGCAAGGAGTTGTGGTGGGATTTAAAATTCAATGGAATGAAATAACGGAAATGAGCCCGATTACTCTGAAAAATGGCTTGGCAAAAAACGATAGGTGACGTAGAGCTAGCTAAGGTGCTCCGAGACAGGAGTTTGTTCATTAAATGTAAAAATTCAGAACAAAAGAATAAGGAACCTAAATAACAAGCTTAATCACTATAACCACACTGAAAGCTGTAAAGTAGTTCATAGTGTGCAACCCAAGAAAATACTTCTCATGTGGCTGTCAGCTTTAATTCATTTGTGCATTTATGTAAAATCAGTGGTGCCAAATGAGTTTTGTGTTATGAATGTGTGTCATTCACTCCAGAAGTCACTATCAGAGATTAAAACTCATTATCACTGAAAACATTACAATTTTACAGACAGATATATGTATTTATTAAGTGAGGAGCTTAAATCGCATCGATGGGGAGTCAAATAGAGCCACAAAAAGAACCATGCTGGTACTTTCCCCCCCCAAAAAAAATCTATATATACAGTGGTCCCTCGCTATAACACGGTTCACCTTTCGCGGCATCGCTGTTTCACAGATTTTTTTTGTGTGCAATTTTGCATGCTTTATTTTTTTAACAGCACATTGTGTTCTGCCTCCTGATTGTCAATCAATCTCCTGTACAGTGCAGAATGCGTTCAGCTTGTAAAATTTGTATAAATCTTCGATCGCTAGCAGTGTGACTCTGAAGTGCTGTACTGTATGTTTGTAGGTTTTCTCCCCAACAAACACAACAATGTCAACGAAACGTTTTGCACCGTCAAAGGCACCTGTGGTAGCACCCAAAAGCCAGAGGAAGATGCTAACCATCGCACAAAAAGCTGGACTTCCGGATTTGCTAAAGGAAGGTAGAAGATACCGTATTTTTCGGACCATAAGGCACACTGCATTTTGAGCCGCATTCACAAACAAAATAGTCAGATACGTCAAACTTTACTCAAATCATTCTTCTTGCTTCCTCTACTTGCGTACCATTGATTCACTAGTGTTGAATTCTCTGGCAGCTGCTCTATTCCCATGTTCTGGACCTGAAAACAGGGTTTGATCTTTGGTTTCATTCTGTAATAGTGGACTTATTTTTCTACAAAAGTTTGAACTTTGAGAGTTTAAACAAGAGAGAAAAGTGTGAAAGTGTTCATGCATGTATGAGAAAACTGTATAAAGTGTGCAGTGAGGGGTTTTACAGCATTAAAACATATAAAATAAAAATAAAGCCTGCTACTTTGCGGATTTCACTTTTTTTAGAATGTAAATCCCGCAATAAACGAGGGACAACTATATATATCAAAGTTTTGGGGACTAGGGGCCAGATATGTCCTACAATTCATGCTTGTACTAGGGGACCACATTGGCCTCACACAGGTCCCAAGATGGTATGCTTATGGGGGGGTCCTCAAAATATTTGTAAGGACAAACAGAAGACCATGTTGAGATATGCCAAGTATTCAGCTAATGGCTCTTTGGGAATCACCGTATTGATGCAGCTACAATATAACAGTATTTCAGAATGAAATTAAGTCTTTCACTCTTTTTCTCTCTCTTAATGGAAAAAGATAAAGTGGATTATTATTGAAGCTGTTTCAGATATCAGTGTAGTGAAACTAAAGACAAAAGTTCTTTTATTATAAAGTCTGACCTCTTTATTGCAACCCAACATAATGCAACCATGAAAATGCAGCAGCAGAGCAAATGAGAGATTCAATATTATGCTTATTCACATAAAGAAAATCCACATTTCTAATAATATAAGTGTCCTTATAAAAATCCTGTGTCCTCATAAAAGACTACTATTTTTTAAGGAAAGGGTTGCAGTGAACGTATTCAGTAGAGCACAGTGTAAGGCAAGTTTATTGCGTTGTATGCTATAGTAGTGCAATGCCTTGCTATTATTTCAGCCCTGTACAAAACAAAGTCAAAGATCCACTCTTGATATCATCGAATGTCTAGTGTACCTGGCAGTAAGTGAAAGCCTACTGTACCTACCCCGTACAGGTACATCAGGGAAAAATAATTCAAACTGAATTCAATACCTACAACCTCACCACATCATTTGTTTCTTTATTCAGATACTCTAATAAATGTTGTTAAAACAGAACACCAAACACCAAATCAGTTCACCGTGTTGCTCATCATTCACTTCAAATTAAGATATTGGTTGAAACCATTTCTCTGCACACTGCAGTGGTCTGAGGTTTAGTTATACTGGGTCATGGGGTGATCGTTCCAGGAAGGCAGCTGGGAGAGCTTCCCTTTAGTGGCCGTTTCTATTGGCCATCCCCAGGCCTTAAAGAAGCCAGTCAGGTCCATCCCCACAGTCTGGGAGAAAGTCTCGGCATACAGATTCATTTTTCCTTTCTTGTCCTTGGGGAAGTCCTTCATGTGGTGATACGCAGTAAACACTTTCTTAAAGGCATCCCAGCCAAACTTTTCCTGGAGCTGCAGATGAGGAGACAAAAATCATAATGCTGATAATCATGTTATGCCTAATAAAGTGTTCATGTCAGGCTTATTTCTGTTTGTTAAGATGCTGTTTTAATTCTGTCTCCACACTTTCTTGATAGTGACTTCATTTAAAAGATATCATCTTACAGTTTCTGGAACTCGCCTTGTTTCACACTCTGCTTTCAGTTTTACATGCAATCATTTTTTTTCCAGTGAAAGCAGGTCAGTCCAGTGTGGACAAAGGACCGTTTCTCTACAGAGTAGAATTCTCTCACCTGCATATATGTTTCCAGAGCCACCCACATGCTCCAGCTCTCAAGTTTCCTGCCTCCTGCGATGTATTCCTTGGTTCGACTTTGTCGTTTTGCTGCAGTCATAGCTCCATGAGCCTGCATTGAACAGTATGGAATGAGGTGACTGTTAAGCATTGTACTCTAAAGAAAAACAGTGTTAAGTCTTCTGTCCTCATAGGATATCAAAAAAAGAGTTATGCTTTCTAAAACTGATTGATATGAAAAGCATCACAATTCAACAAAAGCTTTTCTGGCCATTGGTCTGAAAGACGCATGTGATTTACTCCACCTTCTCCCTCTTGATGCCCAGCACCTCTTCGTGCACATACACTGACCACAGGTTGCATGTACACTCTGTGGTGTGTGGTGGGAACTCCCAGCAGCCTCTCTGTTGGTTGTGTCCCAACTCGTGGATGGGGCCCCACATGCCTTTACCTTTTTTAACGTCAACCAGGTTAGCAGCTGAGTTTTTTTGTACCATGATAGGATAACCTGCATGCATAAAACCTGAACAGAAAAAGGAGAAATGAACAGTAGTATAGTGATGATTCTTATGTAAAAACAAACAAACAAGCAAAAGTATGACATGATTATGGTTTTTCAGTGCAACTGTCCAGGGTCTGCTCAGCCTTTCGCCGTGTGACAGCTGGGATAGACTCCAGTGGATGGTTGCATCCACTGGAGTCCTCAGGGATGCCCTCAGGGATTTCAAACAGAACCAAAAGTAGAAGGAAAAAATAAGCATTGAGAAGCATTTAGAGCTCTAAAGCCTGAGCTTTCAGCTTACAGGGCGTACACACGCTTACTTCATTTTCTCAAACTTGATAGACAGGTAAAGCCAGCATTGTAATTGTATATATGCACTATTTTGCCAAAGGTATTTGCACGTCTGCCTTCACACCCATATGAACTTGAGTGACATCCCATTCTGAATGAGTGCTTTGCATTGTGCTTGGTGATGAAAAAAGCATATACCTGGATCAGGTGACCCTGAATCCTCTCTTAGTTATGCTGCAATAGTTTTAGGTTGCTGGGAGATTCTCATGATGCCTTAAATATTTCTCCTCCAGTCACTCTTTTCACTCACTATATGTTAACAGACCTCTCTACATTGAATCCTACTTGTTATCAGTTGCTGGCTCTCTTTCACAGCATGTTTTTTTTTAATCCTTTTTTTATCACAACAACTGGTCACAGCCAATGTGCTTGTTTATAGGGGGGTCATATGATTGTTGGGTTTTTCTCTGTATGTATTATTGTAGGGTCTAGCTTACAATATAAAGTGCCTTGAGGCGACTGTTGTTGTGATTTGACGCTGCATAAATAAGATTGAATTGAATTGAATTGAAAAACTGAATTTGGATTGGTGACTGAATACTTTCTGTTTGCTAGTTCTATTCCAGAGAACTGGTCCATGCATACCCTGCCTGTCACCCAGGATTACTTGAGACTCTATATATGATAAGAAAATAATAGGCAGGTGTGTACTGTACAACATGAGGCAAAATGCACTAACCGTGTGAAATCTGCACATCTGCCACAAAGCGCTCCTTGCGGGGAAATTTGTGTGGTTTGGCAGCCAGATCTGCAATGGCTCTCATGATTTCATCCCACAGAGCAGCCACCTTGTCAGGGCGCTCCAGACGCCGAACAGCATCTGACGGTACGGTGAGGATGATGTTTTCAAACTCCAACTCTGCCCAGGGTGAAGGAGCTGTGCGCAGCAACGACCACTCAGCTGCAGTTGTTACACCTGAAAGGAACAGAGAGGAGTGGATCTATTAAATTGCTTTGGATTATTACCTGGGAGATGCTGCCCTCAGCCCTTCAAATTATAGACTGTTTAAAAAAATAGTCTATTAGACCAGTACAAACAAAGGTACACACTAGTGCAAACACATATCAAAGTTCGATCCACCGCAGACTCACCAGTCTTATAGTATGGAGCAGGTACAGCCATTTGTGCTGTGACCTCCAACCCCTTCACTTGTGTTTTGGGTGGGGCCACCAGGTAGATGAGTCCTCCCCAAAGGTTCCAAACTTGTATCATCTCTGAGGTGACAGGAAATCGCTCATGGACAGACGGTGGTCTCTTCAGCACATCGTTCTTGTGCAGAGAATCAGTTTGACATCCTATCTGAATCTGCAGAAGAAAAGGAAAATGCATTATAAGCAATAATACAAGCACAAATATAATAATATAAGCAATACCACAAAGTATGCAACACTGTAAAAAGGAATAACTAAAAATTGCAATGACTGCTCTGTGTGTAAACGACTAAATGGCCTGAATCGACTTACAGTATCTATTCACCAGAGACAAGTTTTGTGTCTGGAATTTTTCAGTTTCTGGCACCTCGCTATCTTTAGGTAACAAAGTTGCAACATTCTGAGTGAACTCAAAATCAATTGACTTCATATGCTGTACCTTCCAATTCTTTTTGACAATCTGAGGTGGTACAGCGATGTAGGTCTTCATACCAGGAGAGAGGTAGAGACCTGTACTGATCCACTTTTCCTTATCTGAAGCACACAATTATAAAAGATGACAGTCAGGGAATTTTACATGTATAAAATATGCATTTAAAAAAAATGTATTCCACAGTTTTCAGTGTCTACAAAGAGGTGCATGTATTAATACTGTGTGACACTGAACAACAGGCATTGCTGCATCATGCTGAACGATGCTGTACAATTTAAATATGTACCTAAATTCAAATAACTACATTCACATTTTTGAACACAGCAGTGAGATCTGACCTGCTGTATCAACATCAACCTTGATCCGGTGGTTATAGACAACAGGCATCATTGGGTTGTCCTTGATAAGATAGGGCAGGAGGGCATCGGGATCTGGGCAAACCTTATATACCTGGGTACCCACAGCGAGGAGGAGGTGGTCTTTGGGACTCTTTGCAGGGCTTTTTTCACTCACCTTGAAAGTGAATGGTGAATGTTATTAGATATGTCCCCACATTATGACACTATCTGCAAAAAAAAGGGCAGACGAGCGACCCCTCACCAAACCCCATCCATAAAGGGCAGCTACTCACCTGTGGCAGGCCTGACCTCTTTAATAAGTCAGTGAGTGTGGCCAACACTTGCCGGTAGTGGGAGCAATCATGGGCTTTCATCTGCAAGTAGGCATTGCAGTCGTTGCCCAGCTTTTTCAGACATCCTTCCTCATGTTTGCTAAGTTTTTCACCTGCAGTCACATGGGCAGCAAAGCGGTATAGAAGGTGGCGGAAGTGGTAGCTGTCTTTAATAGCCTGG